TCGATCATCCGCTGGAATTAAATTGCAGCAAAACATACATGTCTGGAACACTACACTTTAATTTTCAAAAATTATACCAAGAGCTAAAGATAAAAAATCGCTACCAAACACTTAACACACACGATAATATCATAATATACAGCGTTAAATGAAAAGAATAAATATTAATAGAGTTATTTTCTCAACAACTTTAAGTTGAGGACCGAGAAAAGGTCTAGAAAAGTTAAAGAAGAAGAAACAAAAGAATCGAAATATGTTTTAAAAAGATAAGTCAAGAATTATACAAACACTGAACTGGTTAGCTTTCGTCAGTCAGATTTCGTCTTTTTACTATCCATGAAAAAGCCAGCGTAAAGCATTGTAGCAATCACCAAATACCAGGCTCCCAAATATAGGCAAAAACGTGCAGGCAAACACGACACAACCAACGGAGGTACTTGACGGCCTGTGGTCTATGGCGGACGTTTTTCTCCTTATTGTTTTTGAGAGGTTCGCTCTAGGAACATGGAGATAACTCTGAATGGCCTCAGTCTCTGAAGACAAAACTGTCTCATTTAGCATGTATCGGGGAATATGAAATACAGGATGACATGAACATGGGCACAAATTATCTTTGATCTGTCCTGTCACCATCTGGGGCTCACTAAACGTAGTGTTTTCAGTGGTAGACCCGACAGTCATAATTGGAAGTGCCCAACCACTGACACGTCTCTCAAGTGCAAGGATCAAACCACTGAACGGGCATTCCTCACTTTTTACTTGGATTATAGTCTCTATTTGACTTGGAAAGATGAACATTTCTCTTGAGCAATAATCACGCGTAGCTCCTACGTCTGCTGTAGGCTTCACTTCTTCAACAGTTATTCCAACTTCTATCTTATTTATGCACTTACACTGTGCTGTAATTATCATTTGAAATTTTATTTCGTCAAAAGTCAAAATTTCTGCTTGAGTGCCCCATTTGCTGATAGGGAAAAGAACTGCAGCCGACGAATCAAACACGTTGCGCTCTTTGCGAATACATAGGGGGAGAGCATACATCAGAACCAACACTGGAGCAGAAGTACGCAGATGAATAACCTTGTCGCCTTCTATAATTGCAGAGAAATAAGTGGATGTATTTCGAGATGTGTTGGAATTGATTTCAATAGTATAATCTGAGAAGGAAAACGTTGTTGAGGGAATAGTCAACCCTATTTTGACAAGAGAAACCTTACTAGCGTTGAAAAAGGGTGCTAAAACAAACTCTTGTCCTAATGCAGACATAGGCGGCAGCTGCTCCACAGTCATGTCTCTGTCATTACACTGGGGGGCTCTCAACCACACACAATCGAAATCTGCACCTGCAATGACCGCTATGCTCCTCTGTGCTCTGACCTGTGTTCCTGTGAGGTCAGTTCTGTGGCCTAAGATCTGCAGAACATCTAATGGTTCTAGATATTCTTGTAAAGACTGTCCAGAATGTAAAATAGTGTTGTACTGGTAAGTGATATCACTGCTTTCTGGGTGAAATCTTAGATCGATAGTAACCTCATTGGTTCCCGCGTGGTTTACAACAAGAAGGAAACAATACGAAGTCACACATTCTGTTACCACTAAATATTCGTAGGATAACAAACTTATAGGCATAACAAAAAAAACTCCACTGCTTTTTCTAGTACGTCCATCTTCCTTAACTTTCATAGATCTTGCCTGGACGACGAGCAGAGAGGTGGAAGTTACTAGGATGCCCTGCCTCTTCCCTACGCCGGAAATTTCAAAATGAACCAAATATTCCAGGTTAAGCAACCATTGCTCGTTTGAAGTGGACGCAAAAGTGTGTGTATACTCCTGTGTCTGTATTTCACCTGATGAAATCGTATTTACAGGTGCTGTTACGGTGACCTCGATGTTCTGAACGAAGTCCTGTGAGAAAGGCGAAATGGCCAATGAAGGAACAGCGTACCTGGTGTGTTTTGGAAAGGCAAGAACGTACTTTACTTGCTCGGTGGTAAGGACACCTGATTTTGTCAAGACTAAGTACAAACATAGAAATGTTGGAGTCATGGATAGGAAAGAAGGAAGAAATAAATGTGACAGAACCATCGTCACTAACAACTCGAACCACTCAGTCTAATGTATTACGTTCGAAAGAATTAGGAACCCGTTTGGTCTAAGAACCTTCCACAATTATATCTTTAAGCGTTCGTCATGATCTTGTCAACAAAATTTTCATAATGTAGGTGGTGGGCTAGTTTGACTTTGCTCGCCTGGGCCGTCTCAAAATGAGAGGAATACATCATCTCAACAAACAGATAGTTATTAGATTAAGAAATAACCTCCCCACAAGGAAATGAAACTCAAGTCTTCTCCTTGCGACGATGGAGTGTAAAACCAATGCATCTCAAACGCTTGCAGTTCTTTCCTTCTATAAACCACTCAGAAATACAATATTCCGTAGACTAGGAAGCCGTACTTAACATGGAATACAGTCTCTTTATATACTGGAGTCTTAAAAGGCACATAATTAGTCTGTTCGTCTGCGGAAGTTGGCGCAATCGATTCGCTTTATGTGGCCAAATACTTGTCAAATACCATGATTCCTTTTCCTTTACTGTCATCCCTTCTTCATAATATTAATATATACTTATGTTCGTAATGCACACGCTTGTGTGATTGTACGGGTGTGTGTTTGTGTGTGTGTGTGTGTGTGTGTGTATGTGTGTATGTGTGTGTGTGTGTATGTGTGTGTGTGTGTGTGTTTGAGTGTGCGCGGGCGCTGAAGTATTCCATAGCTCCATAGACAAGATTGTATAGAGAAGTTTTCATTCTGTCCCTTCTACTCTCTCTCTCTCTCTCTCTCTCTCTCTCTCTCTCTCTCTCTCTCTCTCTCTTTCTCTCTCTCTTCTCTCTCTGCTCTGCGTGCGTCTTTGTGTTTGTGTCAGTGTGTAAGCGTTAGTAAGTGTGTATGTGTGTAGGGGTTTGCCAGTGTATTTAGGTGTGTCCGTGTGCAAGTGTATGTGTGTGTGAGAGAGAGGAGAAAGAGAGAGAGAGAGAGAGAGAGAGAGAGAGAGAGAGAGAGAGAGAGATAGATTGATCGAGAGAGGGGGAGGGGGGAGAAAGAGCACGCAGTGTGTAAGGTATTAGAGGGAAAATACATTTTTTAAATAGTCTGAACATTACTGTTGGCCGCCCAAGAAACATTGTTGTGACAGTTTAGCTGCAGACCAAGGAAACTGCTTGAAAAAAAAGAGTACCTTATTCTGAAAGCACTGTTGTTACTGGCGGAAAGGTAAATGAAACATCAGCAGAATAGCGAAGAACAATCCTATGACAACTTTGTAAACATCTAAACAGCTAACGCCCACATTATTGTTTGTTTAGATCCCCATGTAAGACGCATTTATGAACAATAAATATGTAAATTTTAAAAGTACTAAATGAATAAGTAAAATAGATGAATAGATGAATAGATGGAAAGATAAATAGATACATAAATAGATTAATGAATGAAAAAATACAATGTGATAAATAAGTTACACTATTCCCCGTGCGGAAATTTGGGTTGCAATGACAAGCATACATACATACATGAATATAAAGAATGTAATATCTTGAAACACAGGAATACAAAGAGTGAATATAAAATACACAGTATTGTACCAATGACAAAATTGTACAAATAATATGTCACTGCTGGCTGCCACTGTGCAGCACACTGGGTTTTTTGTTTAATTTGTTGGGGGGGTTTTAGATGGGGTTATCAAGTCTTGCTCAAGGAACCATCCCGTATCACTCTCACTTGCTTAACATTACCTTTGAGTCTGAACCTAAGACGGTAGTGTGAACTCACTAACCACTCGGTCGCTGGACATTGAGGGGGTAGACTGCTTGGACACTGCCTGCCAGGGTCAGGGACTGAACGTATCAGTGGGTAAAATAAATCTCTGCGATTGAGACTTGATCTCACGTCTTCTCAACGGCGGTTGGTCTAACCGTTACATCAAAGACATCGGTGAATTTTTAGTTAAAAGGTCAGGAGTTTATGCAAAGTGTTACATGTTCCTATTCACATTGTGCACACAGATGTAAATTGCTTGTTTTCTATGACTAGCTATTGATTGTTTGATTCTGCTTGCTTTGAGCAAACAGGCACCTTGGTTTTTAGCGTTCTAACATTTTACCTCTAGGCCTCTTTCTACGTGCCCCAACACCTAATATTATGTCAACCAGCTAGTTTTTAGTAAATGCCCTGCCATGCCTTTGTTATGTAGAGCCCACATTAGAAGTCCATATCAAGTTTCCGTTAGACCTGAATTGCGTTACTGGCCATCGCTTTAAGACGAAACATATAAAACAAATATGTTTAACACGTAACCTTTTAAATTAATTCTAAATCTTTCAGCTCTCAGTTTTAATATAATTCATTTTCAAAACACGTACCAGCGTCTGTGGTGTAACAATTATGTCTGACTGACTGTCTGCTTTTCTGTCCAACTCAGTTTCTCTGCCATGTCTCTTTCTGTTTTTTGTTCTGGGTCAGTTCGCTTTCCTTGAACAATTTCATCAGTGTAAAATCAGCTTTAGCTAGACAATAACAGTTACTATACAACACTAGTTCATTTTACTCCACCTATTTTTTTACAGATTAATTCTACTTCATCGTAAGAAGGGTGAGACACCAAATCTAAATAACTGTGAGTTTGTATTGTGTATTCATACGGAGGGTTGCAATACACTCATGTTCTTTCTTGTTGTGTGTGTGCGTAAGTACACATGAACTTTGCAGCACCACTACATTGTAAACGACGAAACAAATTTCTCCGTGCGAGATGAATAAAGATTGTCATTGTAATTAACTAAAAAAAAAAAAAATAAGAATAAAAAGTTTTCTCGGAACTTGCAGACAATTTATTGTCCTCTTTACTGCATGGCATGGTCATAGACAACGGCAACAGACCTTAAGTTTCTTAATAAACTGGACCACAATTTTCTGCTGGTTGGTTGAGCTGTTCAGTCATTTACTCATACCATCTACGACAAAGATATAGCCATGATCTATAGCAGTCACTCATTACCAGGCTCCCAAAGATTGGCAAAAATGTGACGGCAAACACAATGGAACCAATTGAAGTACTGGACAGCCTGTGGTCTTTGGCGGACATTTTGCTCCTTACTCTTCTGGAGAGGTTTTCTCTAGGAACGTGGAGATAACTCTGTATTGCTGCCATCTTCGACATGACTGTCGCATTTAGCAAGGCTCGATAAGTCTTAGATGCATGAAGACACGGGCATGGACACATCTTACTTCTGAATTGAGGGGTAGGTCTGTGAGATGTTCCCTCAACAATGCATGTGTTATTGATGTCAGGTGTCGTTGTCTCTCTATTCAGTAACTTGGGTCGACACAGCGTTGTTTTATTGTCAGTAGATTTGAAAGTCGAAAGTGGAATGAGCCAACCAGACAGTGTGCCCTCCTTTGCTAAAATAAAACCACTGAAATAACACGTCCCACCGTTAACTTGGATCTTATTTACCGAATCGTTTTGGGTGACGTTAATTTCTCTAGAACAAAAACGATCTGTCCCAAACAAGTTTTCCGCTTCCCCTGGTGTGTACAATTCTTCAATAGCACCTCGAACCTCAATTTCTGTTATGCATTTGCATTGCGATGTAATTACAATTAGCGCGCTGTTGTCGACAAAAGTTAAAAATTCTGCACGAATACCCCATTTGGAGATAGGATAAACAACTGCTTGCGACAAGTCATAGAAATATCCTACCTCTTGAGACCTAACATACTGCAGAACCAACACAGGCGCAGATGCCTGCAGATAAATAATCATGTCTCCTAGTTTAAACATTAAAGAAGTGGAGGTGCTTTTAACTGTGTCCACATTCGTCTCGACATGTTCCAAACCGGAGAAAGTGGTTGACGGGTTGAGGTATCCAATTTTGATGAAAGAATCCTTAGTGCCGCTGAAAAACGGAGTTAAAATGTAGTGTTGCCCTAAAACAGTCACAGGGGGAAGCTGCTCAACCGCCATATCTTTTATTGAGTATGAATGAGTCTCTAGCGATATAAAGTCGAAATCTGCACCTGCGAATACCGCTATGAATCTGTTTGCCTTGATCCATGTACCAGTGAGGTCAGTTCTGTTGGCCACGATCTGAAGAACATCTAAGGGTCCCAAAGATTCCTGTAAAGATTGTCCGGAATGGAAAGTATTTATTTCGTTTTTATAAATGATATCAGTTTGTATTGGGTTCAATTTTAATTCAATAGTGACGTCATTGATCCCATCTGGGTTCACGACAAGAAGAAAACAATGCCGGAACTGGCAATTTGTGACCACTAAATATTCATTGGAGAGGAGCTTAAAGGGCATAACATTAAAAGCACCAGCGCTTCCGAAATGTAAGCCTATGGAAGAACGTTTAATGCTTCTTGCTTGGACGACCAGTTGAGCTGTGGAAGTCACTTGAACTCCATAATTTTTCCCTATGCCAGACTTCGTGAACTGAACCAACTGCTCGAGGTAAAGCATCCATTGCTCTGTTGATGGGTACTTAAAGTTGTGCGAATATTCCTGAGTCTGTATTTTACCTGATGAAGTGCGACGTGCTGGTGCTGTTACGGTGACCTCAACGTTCTTCACAAAGTCCCACGAGAGTGGCGAGACGGCCAGTGAAGAAACGGCTTGAATTACATGTTTTGGAAACGCTAGAACATACTGGAATTGCTCGTCGGCAGAAATGCCTGTAATAATCACAACAAAACACAGACACCGACGCAACTCTCGAAATTGTGAACCCATAGCGAAACAAAGAGTGTGCAACCATCACTAATAGTCTGGAATACAGAATCTAATTTATAAGCGTGGAAAGAATTTTGGACTACTTTGAGCTCAGAGCTCTAGTCAACAGAAACTTATCTGTTTGTCTTTATCCATTTATCTTTATATTAATCATTAATTTGGCTGGTTTGGTTTATAAATCATTAAACTACAAGCTTCAAGTCTGAATACGTACGTGACATGGTGTATTATATAAAATAAATCTTGTTTGCTTTCAGTTCTTCTTACAAGTTGTAGAAGTTAAAATGCACTCTCAGTGGGAAAAGGTGCACCGTTTAGAAGGAGAATGCAAGAACGATAGGCAAATTTCAAGTTGAAAATCACAGACACATATTTATATACTACAACCAAACAATGAATAAATAACTTACAGACGAGAAGTATACTAAAACAGTACCTGGGGGAGGGGGCGGGGGCGCTCTCGTGGTCTAGAGGTTAAGGTGTTCACCTCTCCTTTAATTGGTCCGGGGTTCGAATCCGGATAACGACGGAAAATGTTCTTCTCATAAATGTTCTCCTTTTGCATCCCTTCCTGATCTCTAACAAAGTTCTGACGTCTGCTTTCGTCTCCATTTTTCTGCCTCTACCCCATCACCTCCTTTGCCCCCTCCCCCGGGCTCCTGACCCTTCCTGTAGCCTTTCTACTTGGCTCCTTCTTACTGCTGTCTTTCAGTCACACTCCTGATCTTATGGTAGGTAAGATATACACCTAGCCTTCTCAGATATGGGTAAACAAATCTCAGAGATCCAGTGTGCAAGTTGCGCACGTTAAAGATCCCTTGGTGGTCAAAAATTGATTAGAGTTAGCCTCGGCTGTCACCCGGGCAAAATTCAAAATTTCCTAACAACTGAGGGTCATGACGCAGAGGAATCAGGCGCTTGTTCCTTTTTTGGGCATATTATGTAGTTATTGGTAAAATCTTAAAGCCTGTTTATTTGTTCTCATCAGGTGAAAAATGACACATCTGTCATGGATAGAAGTAGAGATATTTGCGATTGGAGGAGGTGAGGGAGGGAAGCCAGTTTTCTGAAGTAAATTTTACGAGAAAAATTTCCTCCAAAGTTTGTTAACTTGTATTACTTGAGACTCCGTGAGCACAGAACTTGTACATTATTCGTGCTATTAATCAACGTTTTTCAGTAAAATTCACGAGGAAATGTTTGGGGGTTTTTTGTATAGACATACATGTAAAAGGAGCCTAGCTAAAAAAAAAACTAGCATTCGACAAAAATTGCCTAGCTGCAGGAAAAATGCCTGTTTCTTCGATTTCATGATTTTGGCAAGCGCCTGATTTCACAGTGATGCCTCTTAAGTTTAATGTGTCCTGTGCGCTCTTATGACCGTGTGCAGTTGCGAACGCCGTAAAACACTTACAAAAAAAGAGCATCTAGACATGGATGGCTGGTGTCTCCATAAATAAGGTTACGGTTATGGTGCACCGTTAGTTTTATTGGTATAATGCTGGATTACAGAGAGGATGGTCCTGATTTAAATCCCTAACAGAACTTTCTGAACTTGGATTGCTTTGGGGAGTTTTAATGCTTTTCTCCCGTATGACTCAGTCCAATCGGAAATGGGTGTCCAATTTGGAGGGCCTGCCTTTAAATAAATTTATAGTGTTAAAATAGGCGTTAAACCTGTGCTATGGCAATGATCAATAAAGGGGGGAAGTAGCAATATTTGATATTTAGAGCAAAAGACCAAAAGTGCCATATTATTTGATTATGGACTAATGGCATGTTTTTCTTTATCGAACAAAATTTTTTTCTCTTTTTATTATTTCCTTAAGCCGTTGAAGAAAGGAAGTCTTCGGTGACTGAGTGGTCAGTGTGACCAGGCTCCCAATAGATGTCAGGCATACGTTGGTGACACGGTGTTTGGGTGAGTGTTCAATAATTGTGCCTTTTAGCACAGGGGTCACCAAACTGCGGCCTGCGGGCCAGATCCGGCCCTCGAAGTAAGTGCGTCTGGCCCGTTGCCATACCACTATAAAAAAGAAAACTTAAAAGATGTGTTTATATCGCGCCGCTCATTTCATGGGCACCAAGGTAACCATTAATTCATTGAATTCAAAAGTGCAAATGAAACGTGCTTCTGTGGCGTCCAAAAGAAACGTGTTAATGCAATCACCCAACCATCGTGTTAAAGCCTCACATTACCTACCTAAGCAGCATACCAATTTAAAGCTAAATAAATTGAAAATGTAATCATCCAATTATCGTGTTAAAGCTTGGCATTACCTTCTAATACAGCATACCAATTTAAAGCTCAGTAAATAAATTCTGCATCATATAACACATTAATAGTTCATCTACGTTAAGAGACGCCCGAGATATGGTCACTCAAAATTTACCTTAAAAAATCAGGTTTGGCAAAATTTTTCGAAATCAAAGAAACGTTAAATTGTCTTCGCTAGTGTATTGAGGAACACCAATATTGACAGAATGGACACACATAACATATCCAATGAATAGAGAATTTTGTATAGCAATAAAAAATATTCTTTTCGGATATTTCGCCACGATAATTTCAAATAGGACGGAAAACAGGCTAATCACAAATATCACACAAAACTTGGATTTAACATCAAAGGTGCTCATTGTTATTTTGCTTAGGAGCGTCTCTTTTTGTGTGGGGCACGAACCCTTTGGGCATTAATATTGTTAAATTTTGTACATAGTTATCCGTTATATCATCCCAATTATCACAGGGAGTTGCGAACAAAGGGTCTGAATTGAGAGCAAAGTCACTTTTCTTCAGCTACTTTTTCATGGAACTTTACTCTTCAGGTACCTGTAGGATTTATATCAGGGCTAAAGATTTACTGATGACCACTCCACCGTTGATTTGATTTGGTTTTCCAAGAACTATCTAGATCTAGTGGCATTGACCCTGTGAAAAATTTCTTTGCTATGCATGGAGGTGTCTACTTGAATGACACCACGACGACAATAAGCGTAAGACAGCACATACGCGATGTAATCCACTTATATGTGCAAAAAAAGGTTTCGTGCTCATGAAACCATTATCTCCTAAACAAAAATAAAATTAATACTAATGAGCACATGTAATGTTAAGTACAGGTTGTGTGATACCTGTAACTGCTCTGTTCTCCAATCTGTTTGAAAATACCATCAGAAGATGTTCGTGTCAAAGATAATATTATTCTCTTTTCATTTGATAGTACATGTTCATTCCTCCGATGTTGATGCACTTCAATATTTGCGCGAATACACTTTTGCGTTTCTATGATTTTTAACATTGATGAAATATTAATGTGTCTGATGATGAAGAATTTATTAAGCTTTAAATTGGGAAGCCTATAACACGATGACAGGGTGATTACATTTTCAAGTTTCTTTGGACGCCACTATATAGACTTCATAAGCCCTAGCTCAGGGGGTTGGCAACCTCTGGTCTAAAAGACGGTTCCGGCCTAATCAGGGCTTCTATCCAACAGAATTCCCATCTACTTACTTACTGAAACGTCCTGCCTGATGGGCATTAGTGCGACTATCGACAGTATCATCATCGAGTGCCAGCCAGATTCAAAACAGGCATCAGCGATCATGGTTCTCGATTCATTATAAATCCGCTCTTATGCTTTCAAGAATCCCACAGTATCCAGGGGTTTCCCCGTCAACAATCTGTTCAAGTTTTCCAAGTAAGTTTCTGTGGGTCTGCACAGCTTGGTTTGACTTCTAATATTTCCGGTGAGAGCAAAATATTCAAAACCTGTATGTTGAGTTAAGTGCCCTAAAAAGCTCATTAATTTGACATGCGCTGTAAAAGTATCTCATACATCTCGTTGATTTTACTTACTGGGATGCTGCATCTGTCTCAGCTTGGAATGGTCCTCACAGTCAGGGTCGAAGCCCGCCTCCTAGATGCTCTAAAATGTATCTATGGAGGCTTAAAAAACACCTAAACACTGAGATCTTATACTCATATGAAATAGAAGGCTATGTAAATGCATTATCTTCCGCGTTGCTTGTGATGACATAAGAATGGTGCTCCTCAATAAAAATCATGTTCGCGTTGAGATTTTTATTCGTTTCCCAACCGATATCTGCAGGCCTTGGGTTATTAAACCTGATGTATACTCCGTTGTTGGCCGTGGTTAATCATGTCCATCGAATACTGTCTATTCTGCATTCCGCCAGCAAGGTTTAAAAAAAGAGAAAAAAAAGGGCAACAATCATAACAAGGTGGAATATGTAGACAGATATCAGTTTATTCATATAACTTGTATAAACAAGGCTGGAAAAAATCAGTAATGGCACATCGTAAACAGTTTGAACAACGATAACATATTTTAAGTACTGGTATCCTAGAGAAGTGCATTCATACGTTGTGTGCTTCTGAACGTGTTTAATATTGAAAGCCTTGAACGCTCCTTTTTCTACTACTGACAAGTAAAAGGTGTTTTCCATCCACAATAGCTTCACTCTTTGTTTTCTGCGTTAATAATTAATACGCGGTGCTGTAGTTTTAAAGTATTGTATGTCTTGTATATGTACGGCAAAATGTGGCCGTTATTCTAACGGCTTACAAACAGCGACAACAACTTTAACAACAACAGTGACTCAAAAAATAACAACAGCACGCATACCACTACAAACAACAACCAAAACAACAACAACAACAATAACAACAACGACGACTACGACGACGACGATAATTGCACGACTGCTACCTCTTCTAACAACTAAGACAACAGCAGCAATAATAACAACAACAATAACAACGGTAACAACAACAACAACAATAACATAACCACTACCTACTCTAACAAGAAAGACAACAATAACAGTAGCGGCAGAAAAACAGTAACAAAAACAATAATAACAACAACAACAACAACAACAACTACTACTACCAACAATAATAACAGCGACATTATTTGTGAGGATGTACAATTTTTTCTTTCTTTTTTTGGTAAGTGTTTATACGGCGCTCG